AGACAAGGGGGCCAAGGGAGCCACTGCCCCACCCAGGCGCCAGGCCACGCAGGAGGGCAGCATGTTCCTGCGCCGCGGGGAGCGGGGCGGGGAGCTACCTGCGTCGCTGTTGTAGCTCAGGGTCCCCTTGCGGCGCTCCATTCCCAGAAGCTGGGCAGGATGCAGGGACGCTGCCTCCAGGGCTGTCTCCACGCTGCAGCCTGAGGGGAGAACAGCTCTTGTTACCGCAGCCGAGTCTCGCCCAGGCAGGTGCCAGCGCAGGGCCTGCCACCACCTGGCACTCCGATTCCGTTTCCGTTTCCGATTGAAAGCTCGTGTCTGGTTCTTGTTCTCTCTTGTACTTGCCCAACAAGCCTCGGCGTTGGAATGTTTGCGCTTGCTTGCCAGGACACTGACCACCCCGGGCCTCTCTGCGTCCCCCGTTCCCACGTCTCTCTTCTGACCCCTCACGTTAGTACGACAGGTCCCGGCCCAGCCTGGGAGCCCCCGGCCACGTGGCTCTTCAGGCCCCCCGGGCCGGTGCTTGGGGGAAGGGCCAGCGCGTTCAGCCCTGGTCCCCTTGCGCCTGTGGCTGCGGAGGAGCTGGCGAGGGTAAAGCCTGACCTCTCCCTGCTGCCTGGGGCGCTGCACTCCCAGCCCTGCTGCAGAGATCTCCCTCCTCCACCCCACAGAGGTGCAGGCTCACCCGTGGCTTCCTGGAAGTGCCGGACACAGGAGTCCATGGTCGCTACGCTGCCGCTCAGCGTCTTGGTCCCTGGCCAGGGAGAGAGGAAACTGGGCAAGGCTGTCTGGCAGCGAGGTCCCAGTGCGGCTACAGCTCAGCGCTGCACTCCCAGCCCTGCTGCAGAGATCTCCCTCCTCCACCCCACAGAGGTGCAGGCTCACCCGTGGCTTCCTGGAAGTGCCGGACACAGGAGTCCATGGTCGCTACGCTGCCGCTCAGCGTCTTGGTCCCTGGCCAGGGAGAGAGGAAACTGGGCAAGGCTGTCTGGCAGCGAGGTCCCAGTGCGGCTACAGCTCAGCCCCACGCGTGGGACGAGCCTGGGGCCGTGGCGGGGCTCCGTGGCGGCTGCGCGGCCTGCGGGGGTCTTGTCCCCGTCGCCCGCGCGCTGGGTTGCCCGAGTCTGCAGGTGTCCACCCACGTCAGTTTTCTGACCTGTTCTAACTGCGGCACCCCCATGCCGGCCTCCGCCCTCTGCTCTGGGGACCTCGCGTCCAGGGGCACCCGGCCGGGAGAGCTGGGGCTCGCAGAGGGGCTGGGCGCGCCGCGCGGGACCTCTGGCACTGGCAGAGGGTGCTGCTCACGCCACTGGCCTTTCCCCTGGTCAGGCCTCAGCCCGGTGCAGGGCAGACACAGCCGGGGGGCCGGGCTCTGCCCTCCGCAGCATGTCCCAGGGGGCCGAGCGGCGTGTGCAGCGCTTACCTGCAATGTACGTGTTCAGCCCGTCCACCTCCACCACCTGCTGGCCCAGGGTGTGCCTGCCCGGGGCCAGGCCCATTCCCGCAATGGCGTCCGTCACCAGCACCAGGCCTACGGGAGACCAGAGGGGCCACGTGGGCCCCAGCCTGCGGCCC